CTTCAGGAGTATTTTCAAAAGTATATTCAAGAAGTAGTGTAAATCAGATGTGGATACTTAAAAACTCAAAGAACTTTTGGAAAATTTGAAATCACAAAATTTTACTAAAATCAATAGCATCAAAACGACTTTTCAACACTTTATACAACCATTCCCCGTGATGAATTGAAGTCCAGGCTTTTTGATATCATAGACAGCTGCTTTTACAATAAAAATGGAACTCGTAAATATACTTACCTTGTCATTGGTTATTTACAAAATTATTTTGTTAACAAGCACTCTGATTGTACACACAAGTACTCTGAAGTTGATATTAAAAAGATGCTTGAGTTTCTGATTGACAATATCTATGAAGTTTTTGAAGATCAGGTCTTCCAACAATCAGTTGGAATATCCATGGGTACCAATTGCGCCCCCTTATTAGCAGACCTATTTTTGTATTCATATGAAGCAGAATTTGTCCAAAATCTTGTACGTGAAAAGAAGAAAACACTTGCTGTGGCCTTCAACTCGACATTTAGATATATCGACAACGGATTGTCAATTAACAATGGTTATTTCCATTCTTATGTCGACACGATATATTCCAGTGAGCTTGAGATAAAAGATACCACAGAGTCTGACACATCTGTTTCATACTTGGATAATTTACTTGAAAAAGACGTTAATGGTAACCTAACAACCAAGCTTTATGATAAACGTGATGACTTTAACTATTCAATCGTCAACTTCCCTTACTTATGCAGCAATATACCTTCATCACATACGGGGTATATATCTCTCAGTTGATTCGATACGCAAGAGCATGCTCTACGTATGTATAATTTTTTAAAACGAGGTAAATTATTGACAAACAAGATGATGAAACAAGAATATCAGCTGTCTCGTTTAAAGTCATCATTTCGTAAGTTCTATTGTCGATTCAATGACCTTGTCAGCAAATACAATTTATCATTGAGTCAAATGCCGACTGAATTTTTTTCAAAGTAATTGTTAGACCATTATTTATACACTGAATTTTCGACGGATTTCCCGTTATTTCCCGATCATGACATGGAGCACACGGCGGGTGTGACCGGTCGGCAGGGGATGCTCACTCCTCCATGGAACCTGATCCCACCTCTGATGTTTGGAGGCCCGTGTTTGCTCTGCTCCTATTTTGTATTGTTTAAGGGACTTCTGAGCTTGAATACTGTTCGTTATCTCCATACATTTCATGAAGCAGAATTTTTTCAAAACTTCTACATTAGAAGAGAAAACACTTGCTGTGGCCTTCAACTCGACATATATATTTCGATATATCGACGACGTATTATCAATTAACAACAGTTGCTTTCATTCATATGTCGACTCGATATATCCTAGTGAGCTTGAAATAGAAGATACCACAGATTCTGACACATCAGTTTCATATTTAGATATTTTACTAGAAAAAGACGTTAATGGTAACCTAACAACAAAGCTTTATGATAAACGTGATGACTTAACTTTTCAATCATCAACTTCCCTAACTTATGTAGCAATATACGCTTATCACCTGCATATGGGGTTTATGTCTCTCAGTTGATTCAGTTGATTCGATACGCAAGAGCATGCTCTACGTATGATCAATTTCTAAAACGAGGCAAGCTATTGATAAACAAGTTGACGAAACAAGGATATCAACAGACTTGAAGTAAACTTTTCGCAAGTTTTTCGGTCGATACAATGACCTTGTCAACACATACAACCTGTCATTGAGTCAAATGCTGACAGACGTTTTTCATACTGATAGTTATGCTATTATTTATACACTGAACTGTCTACGGATTTTGTTTCCCGATCATGACAAGGAGCACACGGCGGGTGTGACCGGTCGGCAGGGGATGCTCACTCCTCCATGGTACCTGATCACACCTCTAAATTTTGAGGTCCGTGTTTGCTCTAGTCCAAATTTGTATCGTTTCATTGGACATTGAACATATGAATACAAAAATAGGTCTGCTAATAAGGGGGCGCAATTGGTACCCATGGGAATTTCCAACAGATTGTTGGAAGACCTGATCTCCAAAAACTACAAAGATATTGTCAATCAGAAACTCAAGCATCTTTTTAATATCAACTTCAGAGTACTTGTGTGTACAATCAGAGTGCTTGTTAACAAAATAATCTTGTAAATGACGAATGACTAGGTAAGTATATTTACGAGTTCCATTTTTTTTTAAAGCAGCTGCCTATGATGTCAAAAACCTGGACTTCAATTTATCGTGGGGAATGGTTGTATAAAGTGTTGAAAAGTCGTACGTTTTAATGCTATTGATTTTAGTAAAATACGGGAGTTCCCCACTGAATTCAAAGTTTATTCAGGGGGTTCAGTAGGAATAGATGAATTTGGAAAATATTTGACCGTCACCTAACATTTGTGTCTACGTGATGTTTATGCAAAACACTGAAGTACACCTGTACCGAATCTGGAATTCAGTGTTCATTCATTTTATTTTAATCTTACAATCTATTTACTTTTAAATAATATATTTGGACTTTCAAAGTAGATATTTGTAAATACTGAGGAATACACATTTATAAAAGAATCAATTTACAGTTGACATAGAAACTTCCTGTTTGAGTGCATATATCAGTTTCAATATTATAATGAATATCTCCTGATCATCTCAAACTTGCTACATGCGCAGCTAGGGGGATAGAGAGAAAAGGTCCAACATGTTAATGGTTATAAGCACAAAACTCAAGTCGGTTTTTAAAGATTATTGCAGAACCAAGCAGTGCAGTTTATTTGTTCGTTTTTTTTTCCAGTTTTGGAACTAAAGATTCTAAATGGACAGAGGATAAAGTATGTCGAATTCGTAAACGATCAAGTTCACCAGAGGTGATTGCCTGCATGATTTGTTCAGAGGTTGTAAATCTACATAGTACTATTCAATATCTCTGTACCGTTTATTCAGAGATGGGCAAAGGAAGATGTTTAATGTCGGCAGCGATTATATAGGTTTTGATTATGTTGTGAACATCAAATTAATTTTTTTCTAGGTGTGTCTTTTGACACATTACAATTTTTGTGAATTTGAGTGAAGACATTTAAAGTTAAGAAGTTGTAAAGTATGGAATTGTGCATTGTTCACGCTTATAAAGAATTGATGCTTACAGCGAAATGATTTTCATTCATTGTGGCTTCAAAATATACTTTGAACTTAAGCAATATAATGAATTATGTTATAACGAAGAAAAATAGTTTGTCCCTGTCACTTCGCGTTTTTTTTTTTACAGTGATTTACTGCATTCTGGTGTCAACAAAAGAGATAGTATTTTAACTCTTCATTTCTTTTCTTTAAGTATATATATCTTTCCTTTTTTGTCTTTTTCGTTTCAAGGTGGAATTCATGATACAAAACATGTAGAGTTTCAACTTGAAATCAAACACAGTAAAAAAAAAAAAGATAACTTGTAACAATTTACATGGCTGATAGGTCTCCCCCCTCGAGTGGATTTAATCTATATCAATGAACATTTAGAGTTTTTGGTGTTATTTACATAACTTGAAATATTATCTCTCACATTGTTATTGAAAAGAGTTTTGTTTCAGTGCAAAACAATAAAACTATTTGTGATCATCTTCGTAATAGAGTTGTTACCTACAGAACAATGTTTTAAGTTTTGATTGCATAATTCATCATATGTAGTATGTCAAGAAATGAAAAATCCCGATATACTGGCTTGATAAAAGAAAATAACCTTCTTATTTTTTGATAAAACGATTTGTAGTTTTATGAATGTTGAAAGTTAGGTCAGAGAAGAAAGAAGTAACTCATTTCAAACTAACATTATGACAAAATACCAAAATACTGTTATTTTAGTGTTTAGGTAAATAAGATGAAAAAAGCTCTTAAGTCATACATAGCATATGAAATCATTTACAAAAACTAAGCAACAAACTAAACAAAGAAAATAAATGCTGATCAAAAAATATAAATAAAAGCATCAAAAGTACATTAAAAATAAAATGTATTCATTTTATTCATGTAAATCTACAAACTTTAAAGACTACAAATAATATCTGAAATCTAGATTCACAAATCCAGGTAGTCTCCGTTTCAAATGAAGAAACAAGCATGTAATATCAATATTTGGTATACATCTCATCAATTTAAATGTAGTTTTATATTTCATTTATATTTTTTTAAACTTACATACATATGATATTCCCAAATACTTGAATGACACAGTCGGTATTATTAATTAAATAAGGCAGGTTTGCTTTTATACTCTGAAAAGCACTAGCTTGCCATTAACCTTTGACATGAAGTCATCTTGGGTCATGTTGATATAGAAAACAGGTTTATAAGGGTTTTGGAAAGCTCACATTATTTATGACATTTCAACCTTTATCTTAAAAGTCGGAAGAATGAAACATGGAGACAACGAACAGTCTCAGAATGTTCCACATTTGTAAATGACAATTTGATACTCTGTTTAATATATGACAGATTAATTGGAATGTTTGCATTTTGTAATGATGCAAGAGACATGAGTTGTAAAATAGAGAAATTAATCTCCCAAATCCTGATATTGTCATTGCGTGGATCATTGATTATTCCCTCCTAAGTGCACACACCTTGTACATTAACAAATGATCCTAACCTTGCTTAGGTGAATGATGGTTTCAGTTCTTAAGACGTCCAAACTAAGTGGGTTGGTCACTTGTAAACAAGGTATCATTCATACTTCCTCATGAGTTAAGAGAATAAATTGCCATTCTCTATGAATCATTCTATAAATAAAAATAATAATTTTTAGATAATAACGGGATCTTTTCATACCTGTATGTAGTTTATTTATACTGTTAATTGAAATCAATGTCACACGTGTGTTAATAATTCCTTAAGAACTAAACAGACTGTGAATGTTGTTTGGATAGGGACAAGCAGGAAGAAGTTTACCTGTATATAAATACCACTATCGTCCCGTCCGCTCTACGTTTAACATCTTTTTCCAGTGTTTCTGGACAAAGTTACTGGTTCACACGTGCACCTTCAAGTGCTGCTTTCTTTTGTGATGTTTTTTGTGAAAACTTGGAAAACTGAAATTCGTAAGCTAAAAATACATGCTATTGCGTCGCGTAGTTATCTGGAAAATCCCTTTTTGTGACATCAAAAACACCGGCATTCTATTGAAATTAATCACTGCATAAACTTTGAACATGGCAGACGAAAAATTATTCAGTTTTCAGACAGGAAAAGTAGCCCATTTTACAACTGTGGATTATGTACTCTTCGGACTTCTATTAGTGATATCTGCTGGAATTGGACTTTTTTTCGCCATAAAAGACAGAAAACATAATAATACAAAAACATTTCTGATGGCGGGAGGGAACATGAGCCCATTTCCCGTAGCTTTGTCTCTTTTAGCCAGCTTCATGTCGGCTATAACACTTCTTGGAACCCCGGCTGAGATGTATAACTATACAACAATGTATTATTGGATTGGTCTATCGTATTTTTTTGTTGCCTTTGGGGCAGCCCATGTGTTCATGCCAATATTCTACCAGCTAAGAGTCAGAAGTGCCTACGAGGTAATATAAAAACAATACTTCTTTCCCAACTGTTTAAAACAGCGGATATAATTGCATGACAGTATATTTCTCCAAGTAATAAGCTACGGTGATTACAGTCTAACTGTTTCTGGTTTTAGAAATGGAAAATCTAAGTTGTTTAATTCCCCATATATCAGTGATATATTTGCAAACCTTTCTACTTGACATGTACTTATCAATGCTATATAAATGGTCGTTGATTTTTACCTGCCAATACATATGTTTTAACTGATAAACATACAAGACCATTTAAGCATATTGACATGCTGTCCTAAATAATGATCTTAAGGAATATACAAATGAGCCAATTTAACATGCATGACATAATATATAACAAAGCAAACCACAACACAAAATAATTTACTACTCCTTTAAAATTGGCAAATCGACGTAATACGCTCTTATCAAATAATATCCTGGTTACCAAATGGTTATATTAGGCTAATGCTCTACCTTTTGCATATGATTACAACCCAATAAAATGAAATTTTATATCTCAAAATAAAAAAAAACTTCCTTTTACTGTACAGATTAAAATATTCATCATAAAAGTTATGATAAGTTATGATATGGTGATGAGAAATACTTTATATTTGTTAATTCATACATAAATCAGATGCATGTCATTTATTAGTTATTTGGGTCTTGTTTTCTCTTCCGAGGCCTCAGTTCAATTTAATATAGTTTGAAAGTGGTAATAAATTATAACTCGGTTACAATTACTTACACTTAGGGACATACATGACGTAGTTTTGGAACTGGATTTTCTTATTCCATGTATTACTGAAGATTGATAGAATTTTTATGTCAAGTAACTGATCGTATTTATTTTGTTTGCAAGAATGATGCTAAACCTTTTCTTCATACAGTGACTTAAAATATTCAGCATCGTGTATCATATCACTCTACCTAATAAAAATCTCCAGCAGAATCCAACAGCTCTTGATTAAATTTTTGAATAAATTTTTGAAAACTTAAAGTTTCCTCCTGTTTTATTCTTTATCAATTTTTAGATAAAGTAAACTTTAAAAAGGAAATAAAGTTTAAGAAAGTCACTGTTAACAACGTATCAGTCCTTTAATTATCACCCTCTTTCTCTTTTAAAACTGCTTTTTAATCTAAAAAATAACATTTCTTTAATCTATAAATATATTTTTTATTTTTACAGTATCTGGAGCATCGCTTTAGTAAGGGCGTGCGAACTGCTGGATCTATGACCTTTTGCGTACAGATGGTAAAATTATAAGTCAAAAATACAAGTAAAATGTAACTTCAGCATTACATAACATATCTCATCTATGGAGAAAAAGTAGAAGGGAAGGTATTTATCAGTTATCATTAGGTGAAGAGCAATCAACGATGTCAATATGAAGGCCAACGATTTGCAAATATATCAGCAACTTCTAGACTATGAAGTAACACAGTATTTTGTCAATCTTTGTGTAAATGATACTAAAACTAATACGTTAAAAGTTTTATCGTTTATTACAACAAGAGTAGTAAGTGTTGCGAAAGACGTTACATAAATTGCAAGTCTGGGGGGAAATGCTCTTCTTCACATAAGATTGAAATTGTGAAATCTTAACGTGATCTCCTTATAAGGCAATAAGATCTCTGAGCGATATGGAGACATTCGAAATTTCTAAGCATTAACATGCATATTTTTTAAAGGGCAAAATTGTATCCAGTCACAAAATGTTTATGCTATCAAGATTTCTCTTACAGTAGTTTAAGTGTATTTGAATCATTAAAATATTCTTAAACATGTACACTCAAGTCACATTTTTAAAGTGTCTATTTCTCGTTTTAAATTCTAAGTTAATGTATTTAACCATGTCAAGGGCGCGACTTGCACGAAAATATCTGTAAACTATATGTTTTCAATAGTATATAATTGCTTGAACAGATAAAATTTAATCAATACATCCACTTTTTTTCAGCTTTTGTACATGGCCCTTGTACTTTACGCCCCATCTTTGGCATTGAATTCAGGTATTGCATTAACTTGTCCAAGAATTTGATATCATGTGGTCCGTAATTTTGCATTTTTTTTATCGAGATAATGGAAGAAATATATGATCCAGGATAATTAAAGAATATTTTTCAAAACTTTATCGTTCATTTCGATTTTTGCGTTCCATAAGCTTTTTGAAAACTATGTGCCATCGAAAGATCTTGAATGTCATCGAGGAAACGATTTTGGAAATTTGGTGGAAATTCGTTTGACCACTCCGTTTTGTGTTGCATGAAACTTTATTGTAATCTTATTCATTTCTAAAGTATTTCTGTAAAGTTTGATCTTCATGCTACCAAAATAATTAATTCCATGAATGGTTTGAGATGTCGAGGTCACCAAATGACCTATTAATTAACTAAATTTCCCTTCTTATGCGATCAGAGGATTATTTTTTCAGATCACGGCACTAAGAAGAAAAATACATCTGAATTTCATTTTTTTTTTAAACTGAGATATGTATGCAAAGTTACGGACCATATTGCTATATGAAAAAAAAGAATTAGGAAATAAACGCTTTATTATAAAATAGTTTTCTTAAAATGTTGTATGTTTTTTTATAACAATTCTGAAAAGTATTAAATTTCAATGAGTTAAACTGCATAATGCGTATATAAAACACTGCATCCATATCTAATAAACAAATAAATCTTACTCTACAAAGGTTTTCTTGAAATTTTAGTGACTGGTTTTACTTTATGGGGATCTGTTATATCGGTGGGGATTGTGTGCACACTTTACACGACAATAGTAAGTATATTTTCTTTATTTGAAAGAAATTTATCATGAAATATTTAGAATTCGAATTGCTTCAATCTTCATGCATTGAAATTATACATAGGATATTATTATTTTGGTGATGCTAAGCTTGACTCTTTATTTCTGTATCAAGTAGACTAGTGTTCATCCATTGTCATTGATGGTGGACTGGTGACTTGAAATAAAAGAAACCAAATTTAGATCTAGAATTCGTTCAATTTAAATTTGTATATTACAATTAATTGTCGTATACAAATTTAAATTGAACAAAGTCTAAATTTGGTAGAAGACACCAGTTATCAATCCTAATTTTATTTTAAGAGAATTCACTCGTTTAACTCCTTTCCTACAGGAAGTGTAAGCAATGTGAAGATTTTCTAGCTATTAACGATTAGCCTCTCTATATGTAAAGCAAAATACAGAAGAGACAATAGGCCAGTTTAAAAAAAAAACATTAAAAACGATATTGTTGTCTCTCTTAAAAAAAAAAAAAAAAAACATCAAAAAACTCAATATTTTCTCATGCTCAAGCTTAAGGGGAATTGGTTAGTTATTTTATTCTTCCTCAGTACTTACACAAAGTAACTTTATGAATTCATTTGTAAAATTAATTTTTTACCAAGTTTTTAATTTCTCACTTTTTTGCATACTTCTTTGTGTGACACTAGTTGTGGTTAGATGTCATTGAATGCATTAAGTAAATCAGAGCTTGATTTGGAGGTAAACAGCGAGCGTCCTGTTTTCTTCTCTTTTGCCGCCCTCTTCGTGACGTCGTAGAAGCGATAAGAAAAAACGTATCAACCTAGCATGTATTTTTAGGGGATTTTATTTTGTTCGAAATGGTTCAAAACGTGTTACTTACAGTGATCACTTACTTCCAGCATGAACTTCTTGATAAAATTAAGACAGTGTTAAAACTGAACACGAATCCTTGGACAGTGCATGGCATTATTGAATATTCAGTGACTCATGCTTTAAATAGCATTCCCCTGGCTGGGAGCAAGACAAAAAAGAGGAAATCTTCCATGTCTGTTTTTTTTTTTTTTTATATCAACTGCAATATAGGGAGACACTTGGGATTTATTATACTCCTCCTTGAAAAGTTGGGTATAGGATGGAGGTGTCCGTCCGTCCATCCGTTACACTTTGGGGTAGCCATTCCTTTTTCGCAATTCCTTTTAAACCACTGTATTCAATATGAAACTTTCTTTATTACACAGTGACATTGTACATCGCCTATTTAACGTTTCGATTGGACACATATTTGAGGACTTCCATAGCAAAATATGGACACTGTTATTCTTTCTATAACATTGAGGGTACCCATCTCTTCTCACCGACTTCCCCTATACCACTGAAAAAAAAAAATTGAGGAAATTAATTATCACAGAACCTTTATTACGTAGTGTCATCGTGCATCTCCTATTTTACATTTGGATCGGAAAGATCTTTGGGGTTTTCTGTTTGCAAAACGTGGACTTTCACATTCTTTATTCAACTTTGGGGGGTGGCCATCTCTTATCTGCAACGCCTACTTTACCACTGAATAAAATTTATGAGATTTTCACAGAATCCTAACTACATGTGCGACTTCTATTTTACGTTTTAATCGGACAGATATTTGGGATTTCCCGTGGCAAAACGTGGACTTCAATTGACATAATACTAGGTAAAGAGGATACCCACTCCTCCTAAACATTTGAATGAATTTCAGTTGAACTTTCACAGAATCTCCTTTACATATCGCCAATGCACTTAGCAATTATATACTGAAATGAGAGCGGGGATATCATTTTGTGAGCTCAAATACTCACATTACCTCTAGTTTTCATACCCCCGCTCCCATATCAGTAAATGTGCCTCTATTTTTGTGTAGTGTAGGACAATTAATTGCGACAAGATTTTACGAAACTAATAACCACTTTGTGACCTTTACCTTGGTCCTTCACTTTAATTGTATTTCCAGATAAGATGATATTATCAATTCCATGGGATCGATAAAAATAACTTCTTAAATGTTGCTGTTGCAGGCGAAACGTTTCCTTGAAAAAGTCAAGAAAATGGTAAATTCGATAAGACAAAAAAAAAGATCCTCGGTGTAAGACCTCTCCCCGAAATGAGTATAGATATTTTTATGCCACTGTAGTCTGTATATCAGTTCTCATGATTCGCTCAAAACTGTTTGAAATAGATAAATTTTGCATACTGTTGCCGAGTACGTTTTATACACAGTGGCGGATCCAGGAATTTCATAACGGGGATGGGGTGGGGGTGCTGCAGTAGAGTGCAGGGGGTTTAGGGGCTTCATTGAAGCCCTGGTGGAGGTCCGACGAAGCCCACGTAAGCTGACGATTTCTTCCAAATAAGAGGTGTTTTTCCTCGATTTTAGGATAATGGACATATGCGTTCTACATACAAAAAATCAAACGGGGGGGGGGGGGGGGGCTGGATCCGCCTTTGATACATGTACTCAAATCCACTAAAGTATCTTAAGTCAATTCACGTCTCAAGGTGAAGGTCAAAGCGCAATGCATCTTCGGAATTGTCAATAACTTTGGATCCTTGAATTGGACTCAAGCTTCCTTATAAAGCTGGGACTATTCACTAAATACGGGGTAAATAACGCAATAGTATACTGTTGTCCATGACTAAGATATTCATAATGATCTTACTTCGAAGTATAAAATGTCAAGGATATTTGATGTTGTTGAACAAATTTCTAAACTACATCTGTGGAATTTTCTCTTGAAATAAATCAGATACTTGCATATCTTATGATTTCACACATATATCGTGAATGCCAGATTCAAATTAGATTTGAAATTGGGTTATAGACTTTCTTAAAAAACATACTTTTAGCCAATTACATCCATCATCATTTGTTGATTTGTTTGAATCTTGAAAAAGAGCACATCATCAGATTATATAGTTACGACCTGGGGTAGTACAATGAGGTTGGAGACATCCACTTTTGTACCATGGTTTCATATTTGCATTTGATGATTCAGACAATCGAAAACTATGATTTTGACATTATTTATTTGTTTATTCTTCAAAATTCAGGGTGGAATGAAAGCTGTGCTTTTTACGGATTCCTTTCAAGTTGGAATGATGTTTGCCGGGCTAATTGCAATTCTCATCCAAGGTAATATAGAGCTGGGTGGATTTGATCAAGCATGGCAAAAGGCTGAGGAAAGTGGAAGAGTCTATTTCACAGAGTAAGTAAAAATGTTTAGTTAGGACATGTTTAAGAATAAATTGTTAAGAAAATAACATGTAAGAATAAGTTAGAAAATTAGCAAAGTATAATTCCTGCTAGATGTTAAAATGCTTAAAATAAATCAAATATTTACATGTATATATCTTCATTTGATTAACTAATTCTAAGGGTAGTTAGAGTTTAAGCATAATGAAAAGTTTTAATTTTCTTTTTGTCTGTACCTTAATAATCCAGTATGGCATAAAAATTAAAGCAACCTTGAAATTAAAACTTGTCATTTATTATTGATTGTGACTGTAAGAAATTCAAATAAAATTAAATATGAAATAAACATAATACAAGTTTAAATCTCATGTTTGAATCGTGAAATATTTTTCAATAGTGTAAACTTGATAAATTTGAAAAAAAAAAACTTTGTTATATTTTCCTCTTTTCATTATTTATGAATGGAAAATTGATATTATTTTAACCATATAGTAATAGTTAGATATTATTTTTGATATGTGTAGCTTTAGCCCTGATCCTAAGGTTAGACACAGTGTTTGGTCTCTTGTGATTGGTGGAACGTTTACCTGGGTGGCTATTTACGGTGTCAATCAGGCACAAGTACAGCGTTATTGTACCTGTCCATCTCTCAGAAAGGCTCAGATGTGAGTACATTTCTGATTCTCTTGAATACGTTTGATTTGAACTATATAGCCCAGCGCTATGAAAAAATACACGCACTCACCCTATGTTGATTTAAATATTATTGTTCAGTAAATTTGAATTTTTGATTGGTGTTAAAAACTTTTACAGAAGACTTCTCGATATGGTTTCGATAACAAGTCTTTAACATTGACAGATCGCGCGTCATGTACAGCTTACAGATTGTGATTGAGAAATGTAACATAATTATTTAACAAAGAAAAATTCAAAAGGGCTTTTTGTGACAATTTTACGATAAATAATAAAAGTTGCCAGAAAAACCTGTTTCACTTATTGATTTCTTGTTTCTGTAAGCAGAATTGTACACATACACATTGATTTAAAATGGGATGAATTGGGCGTGAGATGTGTAAAATCTTTAATTGTCATATGAAAACCTACTCCTACAAAATGTTTAAATAATAATGCATAATAATGGCCTAATACATTTACTCTATGTTGTGATAGCTTTTTCTAAACCTCAATTCTTGACTGGACAAATCACACCGTGTAAAAAAATCACAAAAAGACAATCCTGGATGTAAATTTTTCAGAACGTTCTCATTATAATATATTGTCATACAAATTTACGCATATAGTTTGCTTTGGAAAGCATTAATGTTTAGGTATAAACCACTGTTTGGTTATAAGCTTATGCATTATTCTTTATTAATTAGAATCAGCATAATTATTTAAGTAGATGAAAAGTTCATAAATCGATGTTTTTTGGCCAATAATGTAGCATAAATGAAAAATAAAACTAAAATTTAACTCCGGCTATGCTTTTTTGGCATCTTTTGTATTAATTGTAGTGCTATCTGGATGAACTTCCCTGGCTTGTGTCTGATCCTGTATCTGAGTTGTCTCATTGGAATGGTTGTGTACGCTTTCTACAGTAATTGTGATCCCTTTACCTTCAACCTTGTTAAAACTTCAGATCAGGTACGCTTTCTACAGTAATTGTGATCCCTTTACTTTCAACCTTGTTAAAACTTCAGATCAGGTACGCTTTCTACAGTAATTGTGATCCCTTTACTTTCAACCTTGTTAAAACTTCAGATCAGGTACGCTTTTTACAGTAATTGTGATCCCTTTGCTTTCAACCTTGTTAAAAATTCAGATCAGGTACGCTTTTTACATTAATTGTGATCCCTTTGCTTTCAACCTTGTTTAAACTTCAGATCAGGTACGCTTTCTACAGTAATTGTGATCCCTTTACTTTCAACCTTGTTAAAAATTCAGATCAGGTACGCTTTCACGAAAAAGCGACACAAATATAACAATTTACTTTGTTATACTTTGTACCGTATATTTTAATAAGTTCATATACACGCAGACAAGCTGACACTTTCACAGAGAGTTATTGTCCAACAAAAAACTATCTTTAGATCGATGAATGACTTTGAAATTCAGTTGATGGTGTAGGATTTTACCACAATCAACAATTGGTTTGTTTCTTGGTATTCATATCAGAATTATCGTTCATTACAAGCTGTTCGTTATTTTGTTAAAATATTTTACAAACAAATCCTTATAAACAAAGATACATAGCGGGTTCCACTAAATGTTCTAGCAATCCTCTTTCTTTATTCCTCACTAAAATATTTACAGCAGTGAAGGACAAACTTTAGGAGTACTGTACAACGGTACATTTGAGAAGTGGTGTAAATCAGATGTGGATATCTATCATTTCGCAAGTTTTATGGTCGATACAATAACCTTGTGGACAAATACAACCTACCATTAAGTCAAATGCTGACTAACGCTTTTCATACTAATTGTTAGGCCATTAATAACACACTGAATTGTCTACGAATTTTCCGTTTTTCCTGATCATGACAAGGAGTACACGGCGGCTGTGACCGGTCGGCACGGGATGCTCACTCCTCCATGGCACATGGTCCCAGCTCTAATGTTTTGGGAGGTCCGTGTTTGCTCTGCTCCTGATTTGTATTGTCTAAATGGACTCTCAGCTTGAATACTGTTCGTTATCTCCATATTTCCCATGATGAACCGTTTCCTAGCATTTCCCAAGTGTCCTCCATAGCTGTTATCTACGTAAACCCACGGGATCAGTAAAATATTTGGTCAGTGGTTTACTTAAAACCCCCCAGAAAATAACAAAAACAAAAACTAAACAACAACAACAACAAAAAAACCCATATGCTGTAGTCAGATTATGTTTAAGAATATATTCGTTGATGAATTTTATGTACATGTATTTTGTTAAAATCAAATAATTGTCTACAACCGTCTGATTTCACCTTATATACTGGGAAATATTCACATTGTTGATATTTTTCTGTAAGGATTCAATACGTTTTATCGCATTCATCAATGTATGCTAACTACAAAAAAGCAGAGCATGAATATCTGGAAGCAAGCACGAATTACGGTTAGATCAACTGTTTTCATCAAGCTGTAAACCATTGGGTGTATTGAATCAACTTACTTGTATTCTCCAGATGCATATAAACAACTGATTGTATCCCAGAAACAAAGTGCCCTATCTTATAACCCGTCATACAGAGATATTTGAAATCAAATTGTTAAAAACCTTGTATGTTCAAAGTTGTTTACTCAGCTGCCATTTTTCTATCAATAAATAAATGATCTTTGTCGTAGACGAGTTATAAATGATACAGGGCACCGAATCACCGATTCCCCTTCAAATTTATGATTTATTTATTTTTTAAAAATATGCTCAAAGTCCCCCCCCCCCCCCAAAAAAAAGTGATGATTATAATGCAAATCATTAGAAAGCATTCCTTATGAAGACATAAATAGCTAAGACAATAAAAAGATGCTATAATTTAGCAGTGTTATTGCAAAGAAGCATTCGAGGTATTGCATTTCTTCAATTTTTTAAAAAAAAAATTCCTCTTGGTATATTTTTGAAGTATTTTGGAAAATGAAAAAAAAAATTAAAATCAGTTAAAATTCTTTGAGACTATTGAAATAAGAATGGATAATAATTGATTGTTTTTTTAATGGTTATTTTTTAATACTAGCTTCTCCCTCTATTTGTGATGGATGTTCTGGGGTATCTGAAGGGATTTCCAGGCCTGTTTGTAGCTTGTTTGTTTAGCGGAGCATTAAGGTTCGTTATATATTTTTATGTTTTTATTGTTCTTTTTTTGTTTTGTTTTTTTTGTTGTTGTTTTTTTTTCAATTTGTCAAACTACCCTTTTGCTGCTATTTTTACCTCAAAAACTTACAGAAAAGACATATAACCTTTCAAATAGAATCGTTAAACTGCAGCGGAATGCTCTCAACGAGAATGGATTGAAATTATACCATTCCTCTTTGACTTTATTTAAAATAAAACCGTCATGTAATCTGTAGATGAAATATACAGAAAGGAGATTGAAAAAGTTAATTTTGTCTTATTTTTTCATACGCATGATAACTGTTTTGTTTCTTTAGCACGATATCATCTGGGTTAAGTGCCCTAGCCGCTGTGGTCTTAGAAGACGTTATTAAGGCATATTTCTTCAAGAACCTCTCAGAAAATGCTGCGACAAACACATCTAAGGTACTCGGTGAGTTACATTGTATTCGACCTATGCTCTCATAAATATGATCTGAAATATTTATCTACAGTACATTTCCCAAACAATTTTGATAATTGGATAAGACTCATGAATCGATAACATCGATAATATTATAAATGTAAAGGATTCATTTTGTATTAGATTTTTAAAGTTTTTATTAGCTGTAGTTTCATTTAATCTCATCTAATTATTACATTTCAATAAGTATTGCTGGAGTAGAATAGCTGGCATTAAATTGTAGACTACAAACTTTAAAGGGAATTAATTCATTTTGCAGCGTTTGTATTCGGGATAATATGTTTGGGTCTTACTTACGTAGCTTCTCTTCTTGGAGGTGTCTTGCAGGTATGATATTTTATCTTATGAACAGAGTCTGTAAGCTTCACGGTGACTCGTGAATTCTATAATCACTGTGCAACTTACTCTTGCAGAGAAAACAACTATTTTTTTTTTTTGTAATTTTTTTAATTGAAAGATATAGTATCTAGAAAAATATTTTTAAATTGAACTAGTATTTCTTATTACATGTAAAAAAAAAATCAGACTCTTTCGTCAAATGATTCTATCTCAAATATAATCTAAAAGATCTTGAGATTAAACAAACATATTATATATCGTTAGGAGATATCATGTACATTCTATCACTTCTGTCTAAAATGGTACGTTTTTACTCATCCAAAAAATATTACCTTGCTGTAAAAGAGAAATTTCAGACGTAATATGCTAGAGTATACTGTGTAAATCAAAAGTGGATTCTCAAAATTCAAAAATTCCAAAGAACTTTTAGGAAATTGAAATCATAAAACTTTTAAAAGTCAATAACATTTGTATTGTTTGTAAGTTTTTGAGATCGATCACTGTTTGCTATCTTCAATTATTTCATTCGACAAATATGGTGCAACATTTTATATAATAAGACCAAACCATAAAAGTTTATAGAGAGATGGAGAATTGGATTATTGTCAAGTTCAATTGATATAAACATGAACTATACTGCTCTGCTCTATAATACGACATTTTGAATTTGCCTCGCTATAAATATTTCAAACTTTAAAAAGTCAGAAATAATACACTTATAACAGAGCTTGTGATACTTTATCAATCTTAATTTAGGCTGCGTTGTCTTTGTTTGGAATGATTGGAGGTCCTCTTCTTGGACTCTTCATCTTAGGGATGATGTTTCCGTGGTCAAATAAATGGGTAAGTATCGATAAAATTGTTGTTCAAACTATTTATGATTATAAAAACAAGACTGACCCAAAGGAAAATTATTTGATTCGTTTTTTTTACAATCATTATCATGAAATGTGCTCACTTCATAAAATAGTTTGTATATCCTATTCAGGAGAACTAAAGTGATTGAATAAAAATATCTTTAACAGATTTTACAGGATTCACAATTTACTAATGTCATTTTAAATAATACATGTAGATACTCTGGTGTAACATTATATCTTTGAATTAAAGAGATTATTTTGTTAGAGAACATTTAATATTGAATTGCAAAGCACTTACAGTAATATCACTATCATTTTAAACAAAGCTCTCGTTTAGAACGTGCAAAGGATCTTCAGCTGTACTTTGGGTGGAAATCTTCATAACGAATATTAGTTGTATATATAAAATAAAAATCTCTTCCAAGGTCCTTATAAAATTCTATATCAGTGAGTTTGACCTTTAGTGGACTGTTTCTTTGGTTGTTTTTCAATGTTCTGGATTGACTTTGACATTTTAGTATGTTGTGTCGAGCCTATAGCGGGCTGTTTCCTGAATTGACAATTATGTTCTGAATTGATTCGGTCTTACTCCTGTATTTCTAATGTATCTTGTTTTTCTTTTTAAGTCGATTTTTATGTTTTGGTTGCTTTATTTTTTATATCAATTTAGGGAGCCTATTGTGGACTTTTTCTTGGTCTGGTTTTTATGTTCTGGATTGGAGTGGGAGCTCAGATTTACAAACCCTACAACCCCAAAGCACCGACAAACATAAGTGGTTGTAATTGGAACCTTACCACAACACTATCACCAGCCACTGTTTCGTTATTAAACAAAACCGTCAACAATGCAGCTACAACAACATCTTCCTATTTCAACACAACAGAGCTGACCTCTCCAGTTGTAGAGGAGGAGTACGTATCACTGATTGAGAATTCCTGACTCACAGAATGATTACTCCGTCTCTGACCGAGAAATACTCATGGCTCACTAGTCCATCTCGCCCTTTATATTGCTTGATTCAGCAAAGAAAATGATTTACTGCTTCATTATTTTAATTATCAGATATGTATCAAAATTCTATTATATGTTTTACTATAGGTTATAGTACTAAAACGAAAGATTTAACATGCCTTCTCTCATACATGAATTTTTTTCTGAAAATACCCTTTATCAACCTTAGCGTATTATAGTAATGATTTGTTTTATTTCAGAAATATATTCAGTCCCTTGTACGCCCTGTCCTACTTGTGGTATAGCGCCACGGCCGTTCTGTTTGTAGTAGTGGTCGGTCTCCTTGTCAGTTTAGTGACAGGTAGGTTTGATATTTTGAGTAAAAAAATTCACATATTGAAAAAAATAAGAAGTAATGATGTTGTATTCTTTATAGTAATAATTTTTACTCCTCTATTTAATGATAAGACATAATGAAGAATGTAATGGATAAACAAATTACATATTGAAAACATATGATTCATGTATAAAAAGTGTTTTTATTTAACTTCTTAAAAATTATTTTAAGTTCATTTGATTACAAAAAAAAAAAAAAAAAAAAAAAAAAAAAAAAAAAAAAAAAATTCACGGGTAAAAAAGAAAAACAACATTTCCTAAATGTCATAACATTTCGAGCCTTTTGTGCATCATCTCTATAAATTCTTATCATTTCTGTTATAACCTTACATGGTAGCCATATGAATTAAAAGTACCATGGTATTCGAACATGCATTCGTGTACATTTGTTAACATCTACATCTGTATGTACATTAGCTATGATAGTTCTGTGAAACTCATATTTTTTAAAAATGATTTCTAGGCCCAGAAGATCCTAAAAAGCTGGATCCCAAGCTGATTTGTCCGTTATTTGACATTCTTTTCCCGTACCTACCAGAGAAGATCAGAAAGCCGATGAGATTTGGGGTCAGATTTGACGAGGTGATTCAAAGATTGATTTCTTTTCTTTCCTATATAATTATAAATCTTGAGTTAAAGTTCTCTTGTCGGAGTACAGGATAGTAATTAAACAGTTATCATAACCGGGTCAACCTCATTCCGGACTCCAGCCTAATGGTTCTTATTTTCTGTACCTCAACCACTGAAGTTTGAGGAGGCAGAGTCCCGAATGACATTGGGCCGATCATGCATTTGTTTGTATAACCCGGGATCTTTGGCTATGCAAGTGAGAGGACACATCAAATATAACAACTCTTTAAATTCCACCTTCCATAAATGAGGACCTTTCCTGACCAGAGCGGCTCACAGGTGTTGGGGAGTGGAGATGTTACCCAACCTGTATAACATGCAACCAAGACAGTCACAATTCAGCTTTCCACTCTTTATTAAATTAAACAATCTATTTTTACTATTTCTAATTACAATAAATAATTTCACACACTATTCTCAAAATTCTAATACATATTACTATTTATATGAAATATTTTAACCTGTAAATAAAAAGAGCCATCTGAAAATAAAATAATTTTACAAAAAAACCGCGCAAGTCTACGAAATGATCTCACCTGTATAACATGCAACCAAGACAGTCACAATTCAGCTTTCCACTGAATTCGTGTCTGTCCCGGCCGCCTGTTTTAATATCTGAAGTCGTACATCCCCATATTTGTTAATCCTTCAAAATTTGCAATAACTACTTTTGAATTTTAATTTGAATTTTAATTACTATTTTTCTGCCCTTCAACACTCTTTAATTTCCTAATGCACTTTAAAAATCCTTTCCTATCTTTTGCATAATCTTTAAATATTAATTGTTGTAGCTAATATATTCCAACAACTGACCTCTGGTCACTTCAATACTATTGGTTGCTCCTTCCTCCTAACCAAATACATCTTTTGATAAACAAGTAAACAACCGCCTGCAAATGAATCATTTTCTTGAAACCGTCCAGGTGAAAAGGTCAAACCCTAGTGGCCAGCATCTATGTTTATTTTTATCTTCAGAGCTTCGCATCTGTTATCTCTCTCAGCCGAATAGTGCAAATACACCAAAATATGTTACATTCTTATTTTAATGCAATTTTTGTTATGATACAGTTATAAGCCAGAAAATAAAAGGGAAGCTCATTTGGAGAGAAATATTTCTATTTACAGTTTTTTCGTCGTTGATATTTAGTGTTCATTACAATGATGTTGACAGTAATAAATATTATGGGTATCAACCAGTACCCAGCTAATCGGGTAATCGCCGGAAGATCCAACATACGACTTGGTTTCTCGGCGAAAATTAAAAAAAGTCCACTAGCTTTTTACTTAAATTTGTTAATATTCATTATAAACTTTAACACAGGCAAACAGAGCATTGGATAGATGTTTATTCAGCAATTAAGATAGAAATATGGCAGTTTTTCTACCCATCTTCACATCCCGCAGCAAGTTGCTAATTTTCTAGTAATTTAATGATATATGACAAGCAAAATCAGCTGAGATAAGAAAATCATTTATATGCACTGTTAGGCAAACTCAACTTTGAAATCTTCACTCTGTTTGAGAGATACACCCCTTCAAATCCAAAATAAAAATATTTTAAGAAAAATGGAGAATCAAAACAGTAAATTATTGGTTGTTCGAAGTAACAACTGATTGGTACAAAAAATATGTTGAATTTCATATTTTTGGTGTTCATTTAATTACATTCACATACATTGGCTAATTTTCCTGTGTTTGTGAATACAATAAAGATAAGATGTTTGTATGAAGACTTCAATATATACATCTCCAGGCGTAGATAAATAGATTTGAATATATTTTCTGATCAAATAACAAGGGTACCAGTTAAGCGGACATGGAAATTGACCGAATTGGAAAACTAATTATGCAAATGATTTTTCTTTTCGAAAATCGTTACCTTGAAATGTTGGTTTGAACTTCTATAATTTGAAAATCTCATTACCATTACAGATAGACAAAGAATCAAAAGAAGGCGGAGTATTTGGTGACTTGAATACAGATATTCTGAATCTGGAAGTGGATGTTAATTCTAAAGGAAAGGAAAAGGAAATCCATACAAATGGACTTGTGAAAACAGAGAACGGGAAAACTCCTACAGAAAATGGATGTCAAAATGGCGGCTATGTAGACAATGAAAATGGTCTCATGACACGACTCTGATAAAGTTTACAATGTAATAGCTGTTGTCAGATCATAATATACATTGTTTAGTATATTTACATCGATTGTTGATTTAAATGCTACTTTTCCTTTCTCTCTGACAATTTTCTTTATAGAATTTTCTTTTCACACATCTAATGCTGTATATCAACATAACATCAAATATTTGTCCAATCTTCGGAAACATCATTTGTTTTTGTTAAAAGATACACATTTGCTGACTCTCGCTGATGCTGTAGAAATTTCACCAAAATAAATAAATAAAAATGAAACATTTTTATGGCGCCATCTTTTGTTGCATAGTCCAATATATGTAGACGGATTTTTTTTATTGAATGCTAAAAGATTCCAATATTACATTATATCCTTTGAATCGGATTGAAAAGAAAATTTAGTAAATTTCAAGAGTTCAGATTTATATTTCATTTTCTATTTGTTGACAAATACATTTATCATTTTAGAATAACTGCTTCCCCAAGACGCCATGAATAAAAAGAAGTCGTCAAAGTCCGATATGTCTAAATATGAATCTAATGTTAATATTCCCAAGCACGTCCCAAATCAAAATCCGGTAGTATTCTCTTTACCCCGAAAATTCAAATACAGATTGTGATTTATGGATATTTTGCGTTTAAATGAATTTTCCATCACTTTTTGGTTTCATACTTGTTGATTCAGTACATAAAACAAACACTCAGTTTAAATACTTGACAAAAAGAAACAAGTGGAATTCCTCGAAGGATGTCCAGAGAAATCTGTTCAAATGCTGGACTTGCTCTTGAAGAATACCTGTTGTAATATATACTCTCAAAATAATAAACTGGAATCAAAACATTGGGCTCCCTGAATGAGAATCATATTGACTTTTTTTTTATATTGGCCTGACTTCACAAATTTCACAAATATCGTGCTAACGCCTACCGTGACAGGGGACCTCGGTTTTTCAGGTCTCATCCGAAAGACCCCTAACTTTCACTTCTACTGCCAGGCGTTTGACAAAAGAACAGTCACAACCTATGTTTATGTCTTAGATTTGACGCTGCGCGGCGAATGAGAATCGAACCCGGGCCTCCCGATCACAAAGCGATGAAAAAGGTGAAGATAACTGACAGTGATTGGTCTTTGAATTCCTAAAAATAATACACATTTGTGAACAGGCATAAAACACGGATTCTTGGAAACACCATAAGTGAGATTGGGTGCCTAGGGGGAGTAAACAGCCCTGTCGACAGGTCACACCCACAGTGAGCCCTATGTATTGATTAGGTAGACGGATATATCCGTAGTCAACAATGGCCTCACTAAACCATTCGTTCATTAAGATACCGAGTCTTGAACTTGATTTTTCAATTAAATATACATGTACATATAACAATTTCGACTAATAAACATGAAGGTTTAAAGAAGATATATTTTACAGAATTCCTTATGCATTAAAATCAAGTTGGGTTGGAGGATTTTATCATTCAGATGCAATTTTGGGTAAAACTTCTTAAAGCTGATTTTAAAATAGATTTTGAAAACTATGGGAAAAGAACTCTGCATTCTAAATCTAACCATAGATGAAAAAATGTTTTGGAGAAAAGTCCTATTTAACCGGATGAGACTTATTAGTAAAAATTAAAGACATGTGCAGGTGATCTTTGAAGATAGCGCTGTATATGGAATGACACAAACATTAGAAGAACAAAGAATTAGTTTTCTGGAAAAGGCTTTGTTTTACACATGAAAATGGTAAAGATAATGGTGAAGTTAACGAGTGATCAGATCATAATCGTAATTGTTTATAACGACACGAATCGTGAACAGAGCAAAAACACAACACGGCATCTGGAAACACCAGAGGTAGGAATGGATTCCTAGGCGGAGAAAGCATCTCCTGTCGATTGGTCACACCCACCGTGAGCTCTCTGTATTGAACAGGTGAAATGAGTGATTCATAGTCAATAATATTTTTTAAAAAATCCTAACAATTGGTATGAAAAATATCAGTCAAGGTACGACCCAAGGATAGGTTGTACTTGCAAAAATTTCATCTTAGCGGCCATAGAATTCGTGAAAGTTGACTTTAAAAGAGATTATTGAAAGCCCTGTAAATTTTTTGCCAGTAACTAGCCTGCCTCGGTTTAAAAATTGATTGTAAATAGAACATGATATTGCATACCATATCTGTTGGGAGACATCACCATATGCAGATGATGGTGGAATATTACTTCAGAAATAAGGGAAGCTGACGATGAAACAGCTGGTAATCCCGTATGTCATATAGTTTAGTTGTTAGTTTGGCCTATTAAAAGTCAAACATCCAAATATGAAACAGTTGTTGTTTTATTTCAAGTTTACTTGGGTATATCGAATCGATACACAAGAAAAAACAATTTTTTTAACAAAACAACGATATAAAAAAAATATAAAATAGTCAGCTTATAGAGATGCCCAATTAGAGTCCACAGGATTTTCAACAGATCATTGGAAGACATGATCTCTAAAGTTTAAATAAATTTTGTCAATAACGAATTAAACATCTTTTCAATATCAACTTCAGTATTCGTAATCAGCATGATTTTTAAAGTAATTTTGTAGATAAGTAATTGTAAGATGTGAAAACAATGTTCTTTTTGACAAGGATTTCTTAAGTCTTGACTCTATAGCATACTGAAAAGTAACACGAAATGTTGAATAGTTTTATTGGTTGTGAAAAGAAGGATAAATACAATCATAAATAAAATTTAAGAAATTCAGTCAGGTTGGACTTAATATTTCAAATTCAATGTTTCCATGAAGATAATAAAGGCTGTAAGGATAATTAGTACTAGTGAAAGAAAGAGCAAATCAGTTATCGTCTAAAATGGAATGAAAACAATGTATTTTTCAGTGAGACTGATTGGAATAAGATATTTCTCTTCAAAAAACATAAAAATCATTCATTGGTTATGCTTTCAATTTCTACACGGAAAAATCTCAAAAAAGGCGAAGATAACCTGAAGGTGAAGATAAGGTGATCGATCTAAAAAAAATCTACAAACAATACAAATCTGTGAACAGGGTATAAAACAAGGACCCCCGGAAATTGCAGAGGTCAAATCAGGTGCCTAAGAGATAGTAAGCATCCTTTGTTGACCGGTCACACCGCCGTGAGCAATATGTATTGATCAAATGATAATCTTTTTTTCAAATAGGGTTGGTTGATTCTCCTCCAGCATAAGTAACATAGAAACAGCTGATCACTTATTTATTGAATGCAAAAGAACAGCATGTAAAGCATGAACTATTTTTTATTAGTAACACAGAAAAAATTACTTACTGAGTATTTGTTGAATGCTTTACAGCAAAAGGAACTCTAGTATGGCATTGAAGAATGGAATTTGAAAAGTTTGAATTTCCTAACAGTTTTAATAGACTAGTAATAGTGTTGGAAATTGAAAAAGGGAATATACATATTTATTATATAGTCTATTTATAGTCCCTATATAATCTATACAAACGCAAACAGTTCATAACACTACATATTCACTGGTTTTGAAGCCGTATTCACCGGAGGGTCGGTGCGCGTGCAGCGGCATTGTGACGTCACAATCAACACTTTAAACAACGTTGTAAACAATGGTTGCAACGGCCGAAGCCAGCTGTGTATCCGAGCAGGAAAAACATTAGCCAAGCCTATCGCAGGAGTATTTTCTAAACATTTCGATGTCTTACAAACAGCAAAAGGAAAACACGGAAGCTATAACTTGTAATCTGGACATTTTTTTTTATTTTTCCACGACAGAAGTTCGTAAATGAAAGTAGTATCATCATGCCTTCAATGTCTTATTTATTCAAATCCGGGCTATATAATAAAACAATTATGGACTCTTTCGGTGGTGAATATGGTTTGTTATTCACCAGAAAAATATCAATATTGACCGAGGCATATGACAATTTACATGTATATTTGCCAATTCAAAAAAAAAAAAAAAAAAAAAAAAAAAGAAAGAAAAGAAATAAAAAAAAAAAAAAAAAAAAAAAAATATATATATATATATATATATATATATATATATATATATATATATATATATATATATATATATATATATATATATATATATATATATATATATATATATATATATATATATATATATAAAGAAGAAAATAAATAAATAAATAATTTAATTCCGTTAATAACGCGGTATTTGATTGGACGAAATAATTACTTTATATCGTATAAATTGGGTTGCCTACGTCACAATGACTTGCGTCAAAACGTATCGATCCACCTGACGTTACATTTTAATTTTGTACAATTTGAAGTCATTTTCTAAGGGCAATCATATTTTTTCTTACACTAAATGAATGAAAATTAAATTATAAGGAACGAAATTAATAGCTACCCAATTTATACGGTATAAAATGGGTTGGAACAGTTTACGCTTTTTTATAAACCGCTTCGCGGTTTATAAAGCGTAAACTGTCCCAACCCACTTTATACAGTATAAATTGGATAGCTATTAAATTCATTCTTTAAATAAATAAAAAAAATGCCGGATATTATATTTTAATTTAATTGCAATATATAGTTGTTTAATTTGAAGGAAAACGACAAAAAAATTTGTGATGCACTCTAAATAACACATTATCTATTTTATTTTGGTAAAACATTGTACAATTTCTCTTCTTTTCCCCTTAAAAAAACGTTGTGTATTTATATTTTTACTGTTATAAGAAAAAGTGATAGACATTTTAAAATCACGTTGTTATATAAAAGAAATTAACCTCACGATTCATTTTGAATTTTTTAAAAAAATGCACTGGCTTTGGTGCTACTCTCTTCAGACAGTCCAATATTTTTTCAATGGAAACCTTTGTCTAGCTTTTGCCCATAGAATAAAAAAATATGTTTTGCTTCTAGTCTCTTTATCCACCCTCTAGTTTTTTTTTTTTAAAATCCATATTCATAATCGAACATTTAATAAAAATAGTCGTTCTTTTTCTTCGGGCAAAGAGGAATAACTCTTGTTAATTGTTATGCAGGTAGTCATTCATGTTGTTGAACTTAACCTTTTAAAAATTAATATTTTGTGTATTCCTTATTCTTTTTTACATTTATCAAAATAAGACCATGAAGCTTTGTTCCCCATTCTTTTTGTTTTGTATACTACTATTTGTGTCAATTTACAATTGCTATTTTTTTTTTTAAATCCCTCTTGAAAGAATACTTTGTTTGGACTTCGAATAGATTCTTTTGTTGGAAATTAAACACATAATGCAAAATGATTTGATTACCTGCTGAT